TTACTAAGTACCAGACTGAGCTGTACACACATTATCTCACATAATTTTTGAAACGCTAAGAGACAGGCATTTTTATTCCTATTTTGCATTTGGAGAAGAGGCACGGAGAGCTTAAGTATTGTGCCCAAGATTGCATTGCTAGTAAAGAATGGAGCCAAATTGTAAATATAGGATTTTCTTACTCTCTGAGTCTAGAACACGGAGTTCTATGGAATTATTAGAGATGAGAGAAAAAAGGTAGGTTGGGGCCATATTTTGAAGGATATTAAAGACATTTGAACTCAATCTTATAGGTAGAAGGGTGCTGTTGAAGATAAATATTTAAGTCTGGAGTGAGAGGACTAGAGTTAGTAGGGTGCCTCAGAGGGTCAGTGTTTGAGGATTCATAAATTGGAGATTGAGGTAATTTTGTTGCATAAATTTCATTATGAATCTTTTGAACATGAATATAAAAATGAAAACGTTATAATTTTGAATAATAGCATCAGACATTTTCAATAGAAGGGGCACACATGAAGATGGACTTTCTTATGGCATTAACAATAGGCTCTTTTCTGTGGTTATGACAATCTATACATAAAATTCTTGTTCCTATGGCTCCAGGGATTATCTCAAAGGTTTATTCTTAGTTTCATAATGAACAGATTATTCTTTTGGTGCAAAACAGATTATTCTTTTGGTGCAGAGAATTCTTATTTTAGAAGGGTGAGAAAGTCCTAAGGGCTTTTTAAAATAAATTCTGGATGTCAAAAAGACTTCAAAATTGTACTTAAATAACATTAAATCTTTCAGAAAATACAATAGGCTTTTTGTTTGCTTTTAATACTTGACTAAAGGCAGGTCAATATCTGAGCTAAACTAGTAAACAGATAAAGGGTCAAATGATTGTTACAGCAAATTAGCTTCTATTCCTTTTTCTTCACGGCTGTTGTACCAACCTGATTCATTGGGTATGAATGAGACCTGCTTCATCTGAAAACTTTTAAAAATAGCAATTCACTTTTATGGTTCTTTTCTTACTTTTTAAAGGAAGAGGTTTATGTTATCAGATTATGATTTGCATTTATTGTTGCTGTTACCTTTGCTTCTAAATTAAAATATGAAACAAAATTATTTTACTTTTATTGGAATTCATAAAGTTTTCTTTTTTAAATTTTTATTTATTCGTTTATTTTTTAGAGATAGGGTCTCACTCTGTCTCCTAGGCTAAAGTGCATTGGTACCATCATAGCTCACTGTAGTCTGAAACTCCTGGGCTCAAGTGATCCTCCTGCCTCTACCTCCCAAGTAGCTAGAACTACAGGTGTGTGCCACCACACTTGGTTAAGTTTTTAATTTTATTTTTTTGGTAGAGATGGGGCCTCATTATTTTGACCAGGCTGGTCTCAAACTCCTGACCTCAAGTGATCCAGAACTCATAAAGTTTTTAATAAGCATAAAAGAAATTGTTTGTATAAAAACAGATTAATTTCACTTAAGATTCAAGTTTATCTATTTTTGGGCTCTAATGTAAAAGTTAAAATCAGTAGTAAACTGTCTAGTTTGCTAATAAACAGTGTTTTTTTAAACTGCTTTAAACATATTAGTAGAGCTCTACATGGGATATCAATTTGACCACTTACTTTTCAGTAGATTCATACCGTAAGAAACTAAGATTATTTAGTCCTGTCGTTTTGAACCTTCCTCCTTTGCCATGTTCAAATCTGTAATTATAAAGGTTATTTTAATTAAATCTATAATTATAAAGGTAATTATAAATGTTGGATATTAGTTTATTTTTTTCTCTCATGATAATTCAACAAGTATTTCTTTAGCCCTTACCAGATGAGAAGTTTTTTCTTTTTTTTAAAAAGTAGACTTTTTTTAAGTGAAGTTTTAGATTCATAGCAAAATTGAGTAGAAAGTACAGAGAATTCCTATATATCTCTTCCCTCTACATGTGCACAGTGCACAGCCTCCCTGACTATTAACATCCTGCACCAGAGTGGTACATTGTTACAATCAATGAACCTACATTGACATATGATTATCACACAAAGTCTGTAGTTTACACTAGGATTCATTTTTGGTGCTGTACAGCCTGTGAGTTTTGACAAACATATAATTATGTGTATCTATCATTATATCATATAGAGTCATTTTTAACTGTCCTAAAAATCCTCTGTGTTTTTCTGTGTGTTTATTCCTCCCTACCCCAACCCCTGGCAAACACTGTTCTTTTTAGTTTTTATAGTTTTGACTTTTCCAGAATGTTATATAGTTGGAATCATACAGTATGTAGCCTTTTCAGATTGGCTTCTTTCACTTAGCAATATGCGTTTAAAGCTCCTCTGTGTCTTGGCTTTATAGCCTATTTCTTTTTAGTGCTGAATAATATTACATTTTTTTTTTTATCTACTGAAGGATGTCTTGGTTGCTTCCAAATTTTGGCAATGATTAATAAAGCGGCTGTAGCCATTCATGTGTGGGTTTTTGTGTGAACATATGTTTTCAATTCATTTGGGTAAATACCTAGGTGCTTGATTGCCAGATTATATGATAGAGTGTGTTTAGTTTTGTTAGAAACTAGGAAACTGTCTTCCAAAGTGGCTGTACCATTTCGCATTCCCCACAGCAAGGAACGAGAGTTCCTGTTGCTCCAGATCTGCACCAGCATTTTATGTTGTCATTGGAGTTTTGCCATTCTAATAGGAGTACAGTAGAAGTAGTGGAAGTGATAATAAAGATGAATGAGACCTAGAAACTGCCCTCAAAACTTAGACAATTCTTTTAGTCTAAGTTTTGGTGCCAGTTATCCTTCTAATAGGTCAGACAAGATGTGCATATTGAAAATCATTATACAGGGTAGAAAGTGGGTAAACGCCAGCAGAGCAATATTAGATAATGTATTGTAAGCGTTCAGGGATGGAGAGATTGTAACTGCAAAGTGTCTCATAAGGAGGAGCTGGTGATTAAAATGGGTACAGAAGGGTGAGTCATATGTGGATATTCACTGTTGTTCTGGGTTGAGGTTGGTACTGAGATGAGCCCTGTGGGTAGGGAACAGTTTAATCACAGGTATGGAAATGGGAAAGTGTAGGGGCATACAAATGCAGAGGACTGCTAGGTAGCATTGGTTTTCAGGCATTGAGAGAAATGACACAACTAGTTTTGTAGGCATTGTAGATAAAAGTTCAGGTTTGGAATCAGATAGCCTAGGTTAATGGCTGGGCATGGTGGCTCACAGCAGTAATCCCAGCACTTTGGGAGGCCAAGGCAGGTGGATTACTTGAGGCCAGGAGTTCAAGACCAGCCTGGCCAACATGGCGAAACCCTGTGTCTACTAAAATATACAAAAATTAGCCAAGCATGGTGGTGCACGCCTGTAATCCAAGCGACTTGGGAGGCTGAGGTTGGATCTGGTAGATGTTGAGGATGGTGAGAGTTGTGAAAAAAATCATTGGATTTGGTTTCTCAGAGGATGGCCTATTAAATACAAGAGGTAGATTGTGAGTGGTTGGTAAAGATAGTGGAATCACCATTTTAACTAAGGATCAGAGGTACCTTTTTGAGAGTGCTGCTTGTCTGGAGCCTCCCTCTGACTGTTTTGTATCAGGACTAGAGTGTGATTTTATGAAGATTGTCCCACATTGCATCCTAGCCAGATTCCCTGACTTACTTTCTTTTCCACTTTATGTTAAAAAACTGGAGAAGTTGTTAGAGGATAATTGCTTCACATTTTCTCTCAATTCTTCCAGATTTAAAATTGCATATGATAAAACGGAATAGACTTTTGCCTTTATACCTAAATGAGCCTGGATTTTCAACAGTGATTATGATAAATTGATGTTCTGAAATACGTTGGCCTCTTGAGAAGACAAAAATGAAATTATAGATCAAATTGGTCATCTGAGTCTGTTTGATGGCTTTACTCAACAAAACAAGCAACTCTGTGTTGGTCCTCCAGTATTACTTTTTAACTCTTATAAGCTATTAAAGGAAAGAGTGAGATGGGGAAGCAATCTGTAGAAACCCAAGGGATAGAGCAGAGTTATTTAGGGTAGATCCGTCTTGTTTGTAGGACAAGAAGCAGGAAGCAGTGGTAAGTAATTGGAGAAGGGGTGGAAAGGCTAATAATGGATGTAGAAAGATTACAAGGGAAGCTTGAATTGAATTATGGAATAGGAGAGTCTTACTGATATGGATTGCTCCATACGAATTTATATATAGCAAGAGGGTCTTTTTTTAAATTTTTCAGAGTATTATACTAACTTTGATTTACATATAGAAAATTAGAAGGGAATATGGCATTTATAATTTAAATTATTTTGATTTGGAATTATAAAAAGAGAGTTCTAATTCACAGAAAATTTAGTAGTATCTAAACATGTCTCAGTAGTTCTCTTAAATTCTTTTAGTCTAAGTTTTGGTGCCAGTTTATCCTTTATTTTTCTTCTTAAGTTCCAACTCTTTTATTTCATACGTTTCTAGAGCTAGACTACAAGGTTTGGAATCAGGTTTGGAGGTAATTCAAGCCTGTGCCTACTCATGTTGGAGACCAGTGGAATGGGGATAAAACCTGTTTTTTGTTTGATATCAATTATACAAATATATGATTTTTTAACTCTTTTTAAAATTCTGACTACTGTAGTAGATTCCAGACTTACTCTTTATATTAAAAAAACTTAAACAGTATTTTGTATGCTTTTAAAGCTAGAGAGGGGACTATAAAAATCAGATCTAATTAAGTATGGCAAGCACGTATCTTAGGTTTTCTGGAGTGATCCTGACATTTAGGTATTTTGTGCGAGTCAGACAGTCTGTCCTTGTATTTGGCTTGGAAAACATGGTTGCCGTAACTAGAGCTAGTCTCTAAAATAGGTAGCTGATTAAAAGGTCACAAATAGAGCTATAAAGAATGACATCCTAACAAATGAGTCTCTGTGGTATTTATTTTTTATTATCTACTCAAGATTTATATTAAAAGTATTTTTCATCTCATTGTTTTCTTTCTAATGCAGTTTTCAACTTGACCAACAATGTGGATTTGGACAACACCAAAAAGAAAATGGAGATATATCAAAAGGAAAACAAAGATGTTATTCAGAAAAATAAATTAAAGCTGGTCGGTGGCTAAGTATTTTCTTTTTTTGTCTTAGAAACAAATGTTTCCAGGCCGGGCGCGGTAGCTCATGCCTGTAATCCCAGCACTTTGGGAGGCCGAGACGGGCGGATCACGAGGTCAGGAGATCGAGACCATCCTGGCTAACACGGTGAAACCCCGTCTCTACTAAAAAAATACAAAAAACTAGCCGGGCGAGGTGGCGGGCGCCTGTAGTCCCAGCTACTTGGGAGGCTGAGGCAGGAGAGTGGCATGAACCCGGGAGGCGGAGCTTGTAGTGAGCTGAGATCCAGCCACTGCACTCCAGCCTGGGTGACAGAATGAGACTCCGTCTCAAAAAAAAAAAAAAAAAGGAAACAAATGTTTCCACATGATACTTTAAAAATACATCTTCCTTTAAACCAGTTACATTTACAAAAAATGTCGCTGAAATTTAGACCAGAAATATGAACATACACTGTATAGGTATGTAGGTAGGCAGGCACACATTACTACAGCAAAAACCACTTTGGCAGCATTATGTTAGACTGTGCTTTCTTAAGGAAATGGATCCATAAGATAGGTGATTGTTAACGCTAGTTTTGCCTCCTCGTATAATTTTCCGGTAAGCTAGCATTTGGACAGTGGTCACAAAACAATGGAGGCTCATTTTTATCCTTGAACATTAATTTCTTTAAAGGAGGGAGTAAACCCACACAGACGTTGATGGAGCTCCCAAGAGGGAGATAAAACAAGGACACTATTTATTAGAAACTAAAATGAATTCATGATTAGATCAGAGGAAGACATTTGTCAATTAAGCTTAACTTTGGTTTCTCAATTAGTTACCTTTTTTGTTTTACTGAAATAGTATCATAGATATAATATGATATATCTATTTATCTAGATATAAATATGATTTTGGTTTGTTTTAGTTGATCTCATGTTGAAGTTTGTTTTGAAAATATCTCGGCCGGGCGCGGTGGCTCATGCATGTAATCCCAGCACTTTGGGAGGCCGAGGCGGGCGGATCACGAGGTCAGGAGATCAAGACCATCCTGGCAAACACGGGTGAAACCCCGTCTCTACTAAAAATACAAAAAAACATTAGCCGGGCGTGGTGGCGGGCGCCTGTAGTCCCAGCTTCTCGGGAGGCTGAGGCAGGAGAATGGCGTAAACCCGGGAGGCGGCAGGACTTGCAGTGAGTGGGGATCGTGCCACTGCACTCCAGCCTGGGTGACAGAGAGAGAGACTCCGTCTCAAAAAAAAAAAAAAGAAAATATCTCAGGAGTCATTATTATTAAATGTATTAAAATGTATTCTATAAAGAAAAAAGAATTGTATGCATACAAAGGATCAATTGTCTAATTTATACACTTTAGCTATCATTTATATAGTACAGTTTGACTTTCTAGTTGTAGGGAAAAGCAGAGGTAATTATGTTTGAGATACTTTATCAGGATTTTGTAATTAGTGAAAAGGATACAAGCATATTTGGATCACATAGCATATATTTTCATCTTGTATTTAGAAGAGACTTCCTCCTTATAGTCTTATAGTGCTTTGTATCAGCATTTCTTTCCTGCTGTAAAACTCTCAATGAATTGATACTACATTTTCATTCCATTCATACCTAGCCTAGCTTTCTTTAAAAGTATCTTATTTCTGAGAGCATCAGTATGTCATTAATGTTACTCTCTTTGCCTAGTAACCTTCTCTGGGAACATCAGAAGATATAAGCAGAATAGGTATGCATAGATAAAATGTTTCATTAACCCCAAGTGTTGGGATTACAGATGTGAGCCACCACTTTTATCATGAAAGGTTGTTACATTTTATCAAAGCCTTTTTCTGCATGTATTGATAAGATTATGTGATTTTAATTCTTTATTTTGTTAATGTATATTAATTGATTTTGTATGTCAAACCGTCTTTCCATCCCAAGGATAATTCCCTCTTGGTTATGTTGTATGATCCTTTTAATGTGCAGTTAGATTCAGTTTATAAGTATTTTGCTGAGGATTTTTGCATTTTTGTTCATCAGGGATATTGGCTCGCAGTTTTTTTTCCTTGTAATGTCTTTGTCTGGTTTTAGCATCAGGGTAATAATGCTGGCTTCATAAAACGAGTTTGGAAGTGTCCCTGTCTTCAATTTTTTAGAAGTTTGAGAAGGATTGATATTAATTCTTCTTTAACTGTTTGGCATTATTCACCACTACAGCTTTTTCTCTGTTAGGAGGCGTGATGACTGATTCAGTGTCCATACTAGTTCTAGGTCTTTTCAGATTTCCTATTTCTTCATAATTTGGTCTTAGTAGGTTGTATGTTTCTAGGAATTTGTTCATTTCTTCTAGATTAACTGAAGTGTATAATTGTTGCTGTGTAATTGTTCATAGTAGTCTCATGATCCTTTTATTTCTGTGGCATCAGTTGTAATGTCTCCTCTTTCTGATTTTGAGTCTCTCTTTCATAGTCTTGCAAAGAGTTTGTCAATTTTATCCTTTCAAAAAACTTAATTTTGTTGATTTTTTTCTGTTCTTTTTCTATTTTCTATTATATTTATTTTTGCTCTAATCTTTGTTATTTATTTTAATACTTTGTTCTGCTAACTTTGAGCTCAGTTTGTTACTAAATTTCTAGCTCCTTGAGACGTAAAGCCAGGTTGTTATTTGAGATCTTTCTTCTCTTTTAAAGTCGGTGTTTATCACAAGAAACTTCCTTCTTAGTACTGCTTTTTCTGTATCCCTGGAGTTTTGGTATGCTATGTTTTTGTTTGTGTTTGACCTGAGGTATTTTCTAATTTCCTTTTTGATTTCTTTGACCCAATGATTTTTTGAGTTTATTGTTTAATTTTCACATATGTGCATATTTGTGAATTTTTTCAGTTTTCTTTCTGCTATTGATTCCTGGTTTTATTCCATTGTGGTCAGGAAAGATACTTGGTATGATTTCAGTCTTCTTAAATGTGTTAAGACTTGTTTTGTGACCTAACTTGTGACCTATTCTGTAGAAAGTTCTGTATGTGCTTGGGAAGAATGTGTATTCCGCTGCTGTTGAGTGGAATAACAACTAACAGACATATGCAGAACTATAAAGTTGTTTTAAGACTTCTGTTTCCTTATTGATCTTCTTTCTGAAAGGTCCATCCATTATTGAATGTGAGTTAAGTCTCTTACTGTTACTATATTGCTATTTCTCCCTTTAGTTGTCAGTTTGCTTTATATATTTAGTTGTTTATAATTGTTATAATTTTCTATATGTTGACCCTTTTATCATTATATAATGTTCTTTGTCTCTTTTGACAGTTTTTTAATGAAAGTCTATTTCGTCTGTTACTATGTTCTTTGTTTCAGTGAATGGTGCCAGCATTCATCTAAGTGTTCAATCCATATTTGGTCAGTGTTTATATTCTGTTGATGATCACTCATGTTTTAAGCCTCATCCCCACTCTAATTAGATTATTACTGTATTTAGGGCTCTTATTTCTATTCTTTCTTTCTTTTTTTTTTTTTTTTTTTTTTTTGAGACGGAGTCTCGCCCTGTTGCCCAGGCTGGAGTGCAATGGCATGAACTTGGCTCACTGCAACCTTCATCTCCTGAGTTCAAACGATTCACCTGCCTCAGCCTCCCAAGTAGCTGGGATTACAGGCATGTGCTACCATGCCTGGCTAATTTTTTGTATCTTTAGCAGAGACAGGGTTTCACCATGTTGGCCAGGCTGATCTCAAACTCCTGACCTTGTGATCCACCTGCCTTGGCCTCCCAAAGTGCTGGGATTACAGGCACGAGCCACTGCATAGGGCTCTTATTTCTTATCTGGATTGTTTGAATATACTTCTAACTATTCCTCCTATTGTCAGTCTTGAATCCAATTGATCTTTATGTATACCTTTCTGTTTCTAGTCATCTTTTTAAACTCATCCCTCAAATTCCCTTAATATGTTCCCAGTGGCCTTAGTATAGCAAAATCCACTAGTATGGTATAACAGAATAGTTGTTCTGTTTAATAGTAACATGTCTACATGAAATAAAGTAAATTCTATTTCCCTCAATATGGAATTGCTACATTATTAAATAATAAGTGACTAGTGTGTTTTATGCTTCCAATAAAGAAAGTATTAGAGTGTGGTATATGATTGCTCTTGGTTCCCAAATTTATTCCATGCCATATATAAATTTGTGTTTTAGACTCGAGAACAGGAAGAACTGGAAGAAGCTTTAGAAGTGGAACGACAGGAAAATGAACAAAGAAGATTATTTATACAAAAAGAAGAACAACTGCAGCAGATTCTAAAAAGAAAGAATAAGCAGGCTTTTTTAGATGAGCTGGTATGTATTAATGCTAATTGTGATTGTAAAAAACATTCTTCAGGATTTACCTTTCCTAGTAGGCTGAATGATGGCATTTAAAGGGCATTTCCAGTATTTGTAATCTGGTTCACCTTTAGTTTTGTTGGTTATGTATTGATATCAGTGTATTTATTGCTGAATAAGAGGTTGCCCCCCACCCACACTGAACAATGTATTTTTATGTTCACAATTCTAACGGTTAGGAATTTAAGTGGTTCTTTTGGGCTTCTCTGCTTCCCTAATGTATTCTCAGGACACCTCTCCATGTGGTTTTGATAGCGACAGGAGGCAGCCAAATGCCTAGGCAGATAGGGTCGGGTACCCGGAGAAACCCCACCTCCATGTCGAAGACAGTTTAAAATCTGAAAGCCAAGCTACAAGTTAAATCCTTGGACCAGATTGAGAACTTGTCCTCCTCTTTGGTGTGCTTTCCTCTGATTGATCCCCACTCCTCACCTATTTTATATATGCCTACCCTTTCCTAATTGGTTTTCTATACTGTCATGCCCACCTTTGGGTAGTGTCTTCACTTCAGCCTTTTTGCATACTCATAAGCCAATTCAGCACATACTCCTCATCCTGTGCCTATCAAGACCCCAGACTCAGTAACTAGAGAAAGAGACAACCTGACTTTGGGGAAGACGACCTGCCCTTCCTCTGCCCTCTCCAGCTCCCCTCTCTGCTAAGAGCTGTTTTCGTCGCTTAGTAAAATTATCGCCTTCACCATCTTTAACCATCCCTGTGACCTCATTCTTCTTGGATGCCAGACAAGAGCTTGGGACCCACCGAGTGTCAGTACCCAGAAAGGCTGCCACACTGGCACTTTGTCCTTGCTGGTGGAGAGCAGCTGCCCCAGGTGACAAGGCCAGAAGCCGACTGAGCTGCTAACACACTGCTGTCTGACGGCGGAACTAAAGGAGCACTATAACACCTCCCCTGGGGCTTTTGGGTTGTGGGCACCCTCACCTGGGCACTGCCACGTTCCCCTTGAGGCAACATGCCTGGTCTGGCTGTGGGCCCCACATGGAGTTTGCTTCTGTGTCTATGCCTGGAGCAGATGGCTGGGTCCTGCACTTGCTTGCTTGTGCCTGGTCTGACTGTGGGCCCCACACAAAACTTGTTCCTGTGTTGGTGCTTGGAGCAGTCAGCTAGATCTGCACTGACTCACCCATGTGCTCCCTCCCACATGGGGTTGAGTGCAGTGGGTCTAGTAGAGGGGAGTCCTTACCGTGAATCTAGTGAAGGGGCTGACTACATCAGAAACTGCATCAATTTCTGTAACATTGTGATTGTACTTCTCACATGTTGGCTCAGGGTTACAAGAGAGAATATTCCAAGAATAAGGAAGTAGAAGATGCTAACATTTTAGGGCTTGGGCTAGGAAACTGGTGCAGCATTGATTCCACCATATTAGCAAAAGAGCCCACTCAGTTTCAAAGGGAATGGATATAGATCTCACCTCCTAATGGGAGTGTGATGGCCATCTTTAGTCCACACAATATGTACTGGGGAAAACTATGTTTTTCTAGAATTTGGCAAAATATAAATTCATTTGGGATACTCAATCTCTATCCCAATATCAGTTTAGTGATAAGAATTATGAAAATGACTTTCATTTTTCATATTGTAATTTGTCTTAACCTTATGCCTATTTATTTATATCTTGCCAACTATGAAGGATTTAAAGTGATTTCCTAGATATTGTTTGTGGACATGCCACTACTTTGTGTAACTCGAAGAACGATGTTAAAATGAGGTTCTAGTATATTTTACTTATATATTTTTGTTTCTTTTTTTTTTTTTTTTTTGAGACGGAGTCTCACTCTGTCACCAAGGCTGGAGTGCAGTGGCGCAATCTCAGCTCACTGCAAGCTCCGCCTCCCAGGTTCCTGCCATTCTCCTGCCTCAGCCTCCCAAGAAGCTGGGACTACAGGCGCCCGCCACCTTGCCTGGCTAATTTTTTTTTTTTTTTTTTTGTATTTTTAGTAGAGTCAGGGTTTCACCGTGTTTGCCAGGATGGTCTCGATCTCCTGACCGCGTGATCCGCCTGCCTCAGCCTCCCAAAGTGCTGGGATTACAGGTGTGAGCCATTACTTATATATTTTTAAAAAGCTTTTTATTTAATATCCATTTTATTTTCAGATGAGAGAGTGACATTATAACTGAGATGAGCCAGTATATTCTTAATAGATTGTTTATATGGCTTTAAGCTAACTGACTAAAAGACATTGTTTCTGAAGCACTTTTCTCCTGATTAATGCTATTTTTCTAATAATGAGCTCATTTTGGCTCCATGCTGAAGTTTATATTGACTCTGTTTACTTTGTGACAGTATATTTTATATTTTTGCATGAAAAAATAGTGTATTTTTGCTTGAAAGAAATAGCAGTGTTTTTGCAAATTTTTGTTTTCCAGCAATTAGCTTCCTAGGTAGTCAACCTTATTAGATAATGACAGTAATAATAACTAAGGTTTATGAAGTGTTTCATGGATTTGTTACTATATTACTTGATATTTATAACCCTGTATGATATTGATGACTTCACAAACTAGAAAATCTTCCTCTCCAGGAAAGTCTTTTTGCATTCTTCTCTTTCCCTTTATGTTCATATAATTTATTTCCCTGAGGCTTGTGTGTGTGTGTGTGTGTACACGCGCACAGTGTTAATACACTTTCTTGTCTAGTTGATAATGCTATTATCCTATGATTGGGGAAAATATGTATATGTGTGTTTTTCTACTGTGCTTTTGCCAAAAAAGCATATGAGTCAGTTAACCAAGAGTAGAAAAAGAGAAAGTGAGATTACTTAAATTGTAAGGAGGTGTGAAACTAAAGGAAAAATAAGGGTAAGGGCATTAATGAGGCTTAGATAGAAAATGCTATCATAAAACTCTATTTTCTATGAGTGGAATGTGAATTTGACTCTAAAAATGAGGACAGCAGCATATTAAATAGTGTAATGATGCTTTCTATAGCAACTTTCATTAGTTCTTCCTTGAAACTATTAAGTGGCAGGTATGGCTTTAACAGTGAAATGACATGTTGTGTTTTATATTTTTGTAGCTGTTTGGTGAGAAATTGAAAACTTTAAAAAATGAATTAGTAAATTGATGTTACTAATTATTAGTATATAATTACTAATTATAATTGTTTTATTGAAAGATTCTTCCCCTTATCATTTTATACAAAGAGTTACAGGCTCTTTTTTAAGTAATACTTCTCTTCTATATAATTAATTGAATTAATCCCAAATATAGAACTTTGATAGAAAATATATTTTTAACATTTTATGTTCCATCTAATAAAAAAGGTTTTTAGATTTTATTTTGAGGTTAGCCAGCTTTGCATAACAATTATTCTTGCGTATTCTTTTTCCTTTTTTTTTTTTTTTTGAGACGGAGTCTTGCTCTTGCCCTAGCTGGAGTGCAGTGGCGTGATCTTGGCTCACTGCAACCTCCGCCTCCTGGGTTCAAGCAATTCTCTGCCTTAGCCTCCTGAGTTGCTGGGATTGCAGATGCCTGCCACCATGCCCAGCTAACTTTTTTGTATTTTTGACAGAGACGGGGTTTCACCATCTTGGCCAGGCTGGTCATGAACTACTGACCTTGTGATTCACCCGCCTTGGCCTCCCAAAGTGTTGGGATTACTGGCGTGAGCCACCGCACCCAGCCGCATATTCTTTTAGTCTTTAAAGTACTGTTTTGCTGCCTCACTGAGCTGCTATTGGCATGAAGCTCTCCTTTGATTCAGTGAGGCATGAAGCAAGATGTGAAACTACCATTGTTGTACATTGTGTGTAATCTGGAGTTAATATTGATTTTTGTGAGTTCTTTCTCCCACTTCCTGTTTTCCTCACCTGCAAGTCATTACTGCACATACTTTCCTCACTGTTTAGATCATATAACATGGTGGTTAAATAATTCTTAGTAATTTACTGTATTCATTAGTGCAATTAATTATAACAGATTGGTTTAGAATACCACTGCAGTTTGAATTTCTGGTTTTCATTTTTAAACTTATTTTTAAAGATTTTGTTATGTTTATTTTTCAGTCTTTATAAAATTTTTGTTGTAAATGTTAAAATACTTTAAATTTTTATGACTAATGAATTCATTAAATTTATTTTTATCCTCTTGAATCTTTATTAACTAAGTAAAATAATGTATTTCTTTTTCTGTATATGTTCATGTGTGAGATTTTGTTTAAAAAACAATAGCATTTGTAAATATGTCTACAAGCTTAATTCTTAGAATTAATTTCTGGACCTAATTTACACAAGTACTACTTATTGGAATTGTTTTCCTCCTGTTTTTGGTTCTGGTCTTTGTGCCAAAAGTCACTTTTTAACCTTTTAAAAAGTATTCACATTATATTATACTGTATGTGACGGGATTTTAATGTTATGGTCTTAATGTTTATGGCTTAGCATTTGCAGTAATGTTGGCTAAAAGGTCCATTTATTTAATCCTAACTGTAAATCCAATTTTAAAAAACAGTTTGGAAAAAGATTTTTAAACAGGTCCTGACTTATTAAATCTTTTTATATTCCTGTTTGAAAATTCGCTTCAGTTTATGTCTTAAATTTTGTATGGGCTAATATTGTTGTCAAACGCAGTAGGTGATTTTTATTAGAAATATTGTTTGCCAGATGGCTTGCTGAAAGTCAGTTAAAATAATCTTTTAAAAATGGTCATTATAAAGCTTTTAATGAGTATTACAGGCAGTTCTTATTAAAATTTCTTTAAATATTAAACAGTGTGCCTTCAGGCAATTAATATAGGTGAGGGAACCTTTTAAGGTAAAATGTAATGCAAAGAATGAAATAACTTGAAAGGCTAAATCTGCATGTTAGGTATTCCCCAGAGCATGCATGTTTCACATAGTTTATTTTACTCCATTAATATTTTTTGTTGTTGGAACTCCTACTTAATTCTAGTTTAACACTTAGTAATGCTTCCAGGCTTCAAAATTTGAGTGCTAAAATAGAATAGAGTAGGTTGGAACTAAATTCTTTGCTTCAGTATCAAAACTGTTCTAGATCCTTAGAATGTTTGTTTTTATTAGATTTCAACTGTTTACCAAGACACTTTAACATTCAGTTCCTTTTATGTGAATGTGAAACCAGGATTAAAACAAGCCAAAGTCTTGACTAGCAACTTTTTTTTTTGAAGTTAATACATTGCTTTTATATAAGAATTTTTGCTTTTTCAAGGAAATACCAGTTAAGGAAGAGCACTTGAATTGATTTAGAGTATAAATTGAAAAGCAATACTTTTAACTTTTTAGCTAAGGAAATTTATTTTTCTTTTGTTAGTTTCTACATGTGAAAAGATAGAATAGCTTTTAAAATATTTTTTTTGGCCACAGCTCATTAAAAATGTTCTTTAATTTTATATTTTATTATAAAATTCTTAATGTAAATCTAGAATAGCTGCAAGGAATCTTAGCAATACAGTTACTCATGCATTACTAATACTTTGTGTAGAATATAAAAGGTATTCTAGTATATTCTCCTCATACTATATTTCATCACTTTTCCTTCATTATTGTTAAAGCCAGGTCTTAATGATTTTGCCCCTTAATAAGGTTATATCTTATACGTAAATAAAATTTATGTTCTTCCATTTACTATTAAAAGTTTTAATCTTTGTAACACTGCTCTTGCAAAACACTTCTATTATAAAATCTTGGTGTGCAACTTTATTCTAGGACAATTCTATTGAATTAAGTTGCTTGAGTTATTTCTATACTGTAACCTTAAACCAGTTCCTTTAAGTATGTTAATTAACCACATTTGTGCCTAAAAAATTGTTAAGCTGCTAGATTTGGAAAGAAAATTAAAATCTGTATGTTTACTTTATGCTGTGAAATGTTAATAGAGTTTCTTCAGGATCAAATTCTGTGTAGTCACTATTTTAACATCTATAGCCTCTTTGAACAATATGCTTTAGCATATATTCCTGGTATAGGAGATAAAAATGTGTTTGTACCTTCATCTTTGTTTATAGATACAGAAAATTCTCAGTCTCTTTCTGTGTGTGTGTGTTTGTATGTGTGTGTAGGAAAGAGAGAGAGAGAGATCTTTTCCTCCTGGTACCTCCTTCTGCATATGTTTTTGGGTTCTTATTTAACTGAAAACTCAGAAAGGAAAATGTCTGGATATCATTTAGTTTAGACCTTAGTTCCACAGCCCTTTAAAGATGTAAGAGGACTTCTTGTTAAACAGAATAAATAACAGTCTACGTATAAAAATTAGTAATTTGCTTATGGTATTAAAATGTGTCAGTGTGCTTAGAATTAATATATTAAAATGTTTCACTGTCGTTTTGTTACTTAAGTTAAAAAACATAGACTTAAATTTTAAAATTAAGTTAGAAAAGGAGAAAATAAATACGCTTTTGGTTGTACTTACAATAGTTTCATTGTGCAAAATAGAACAAGGATCATTTCCAAACGGTCTCAGGTGAAATCTAATGGGAAACAATTTCAAACTGGTCTAAATTTACTGGTAAAAAGAATGCGTCTTAGATAAACATCTGATGTAAGTTATAGTACTTTGTACTATGCTTTCTGTGATTAGCTTATTTTTTTCGTTTTAATAAATGTGGTTGGTTTGCTAGTTGAAATAGGAACTTTTAATGTGGATTTTATAAAAATACTTGTTTGCAGGTTAGTTTGATTTATGAGTCTACAACAGCCTTTTCTTATTATGGAATGTTAGTATTTTTTGTAAAGTGTCCTCGGTAATGTGAATATTTAGTTTGACATGAAATGCTTATGGAAAGGACATAATTTAAAATAAAAGTTTTGTTGTTTTTAGTTTTCCCTTTTTACATTTCTTATTTAACTTGAACTATTCTTACAGGAGAGTTCTGATCTCCCTGTTGCTCTGCTTTTGGCTCAGCATAAAGATAGATCTACCCAATTAGAAATGCAACTTGAGAAACCCAAACCTGTAAAACCAGTGACGTTTTCCACAGGCATCAAAATGGTAAGCCTTATTTTAATTGCTTGTTTGAAAGATATTTTTTCAAGGATTATGCTTTATAATTTTACACCATTTCTATGGTAAACCAAAATGTTCAGATGTTTAAGAACAGTGTCTGATCTAGTTTTAGATGTCTGGAAATATGGATGGGCGCAGTATGAGGAAAGTGAAACAAATAATTTTCAAAGTATACAACACAATTTTTTTGTATGCGAATTGGGTTTGTATGACTTTCTTACTCTACTTGCATTTTTAAGCTTGTAGCGTAGAAAAACATTTATAAATATTGTTTGGAGAGTCGTTACCATCTGCAGATATGAAACGGGAAAGTAAATGTATCAATTAATGTTTTCTTCTAAACAGTTTTCTTCACATATATATTTTAAAAAAATCTGAAAGCCATTTTTTAGTTTCTAGACTGATGAATAGATTAATTTGGGTTTAAAAAAATTTATTTTATATTGTATTGTTATATTTTGTTTATTTTAGCATTCAAGGGAAAGATTTGATAAGCCAATGATGTTTTTGTATACTTTGACAGATTTTTTTTTGTTTGTTTAGAAAATATATACTTTGGCATATTAATTTTAACATGTGTTTAACATTTAGATGTTTGAGATGTAGCCACTCTAAATATGTAACATTCAAATTCATAATTATCTTTTAAAATAGTCTCATTAGAGTAGTATAAAATATGTGGTTAGAAAAGATAAATGAGGTGATAGATATCTCAATTACTCTATTTTTATTATTGCATATATGTACACAGGTATTAAAATAAAAGTATCACAAAATATGTACAGCTACTCTATATGAATTAAAAACTGGTTTTAAAAAAGTTGTGGCAGCACTACAAAGTCATGGTTATGGATTTGGACTTTGAATCCAAACAGACCTGGGTTCAACTCTCAACAACCCATTTAGCCAGCTGCTTGACATGAGCAAATTACTTTGCCTTTCTAATAAGCCTTTTTTTCCCATCTATAAAGTGGTGATGATAATACCGATCTCATAAACTTGTTGGGAAATAATGTGAACAAAGTGCACAGTGTAGTACTTGGCTTATAGTAAGCTCTCAATAATTGAGGCTAGTTTTTATTCATAATAGTGAGTTGATAACACAGATGGCTATACTAATTTATTCCTTAAATCTTTACATATTTTTTATATACATAAAATTCATTTTTATACGTAGTTTTAAAATTCAAGATGATGGAGGTTGCAGAATTTTTGTTTGGCTTTTATCATTGTATGCCTGCATTTCAAAGTCAGTGTTAATGACATGCAATATTGAAGTGGTGGGAGTTTACTGGTTTTACCAGTAAACTCAGTTATTTTCAGGAATGAAGTCTTGTATTCAGATGACACGATGTAGCTACAAACTTCAGGAATGTATCCCCTATTGTAAATTGAGCATGATGAGTATGCAAGAAGGAATGCCTCAAAACATTATCAAAGTATATTTTAAATTAGAGATAATACTCTAATTTTAAGAGGCAAAAGACTGTTTCTTTCCGTTGACCCCAATGGATAAAGTCATATTTACTCTAATTTCATTGTTGCTTCCACTTTAGCAAATGTGTAGCAGCTGCTCCTGTTTTCTAGTTCTCTTCCTTTTATAGTATATGTAATATTAAAATAAGATCTGGCTTACAGTCTAAGTAGAAGATACAGGAACTCATCTTAAGTCTTTTGCAACTTTTTTTTTTTTTTCCAGTTGCTGACTATAGAATTTGAAAATCTAGATACTTTGGTACTAAGTTGGCTCTACTTTTAAAATTTATCTTGAATTTACCCACTTCTCTCCCCTTCTATCATCCTGGGATAGTTGCCATCATTTCTTTACTGTACTATTGCAGTAACATTCCACCTGGTCTCTCTAGTCATCTGTGTACCCCATAATCTAGTCTATAAGCCTTTGGGTGGTTTCCTAATAAATGAATGATGGTAAATAAACAATATTAAAAAAATCAGCTCATCACCTCCTTGCTTACTATCTTCCTATGTCTTCCCAGTACACTTAGAATAAAATTCAGAATGCTATCTACTTTCTCACCTGAGAAAGGGACATTCGTACTAAGAAGTCAATGGTAAAACAGAGTTAGCCATGCAAAAATACAGGTAGAGAAAAGAGGAGTAAAGAAGGCCTAAGGTAAGAAACAGCATTTTCTAGAAACAGACAAAAGATACTGTTAAGAGAATACTTTCCCTACTCTGCCTTGCTCCTTATGCTCAGTTCTCACTGACCTTTTGACTATTCTATGTGAAGTATCTTTCTCCTGCCCCCGTCCACATTGTGTTATGCTTTTTAAAATTTTAATATAGAGACAGGGTCTCATTATGTTGCCCAGGCTGGTCTCAAACTCCTGAGCTCAAGTGATCCTCCTGCCTTGGCCTCCAAAAGTGTTAAGATTACACACGTGAGCTACCATGCCTGGCCTATGTTATGGTTTTTAACCCTTTATAACATATATCACTATCAGAAAGTGTCTTATGGGTACACTGTTTAATGTTTATCTTTACCGCTAGAATATAAATTCTGTGTACCTAGAACGAGGTTTGTCTCTAGTACCTATTTAATGAATGTTCACTGTGGACCTTCATTAAATATTTTTGAATGAATGACTGTATCTTACATATTAGGCTCACATTTAATAGAATGAAGATCCTGAAGTATTTTCAAGTTTCTGTGACTTTATGGTGTTTACTGTTTGGAATATACTTAACTGCTTATGAAAACTTTACTTATAATTTATGGCATCAATCAAGTGTGATTTTCATGAACCGTCTTTTGTGTGGAATTTAATTACATATTCTGATGCTTCCCCTAACATTTTATATGTACTTTTATGGCTCCTGCCTTTTATTGCAATTGGCTATTTTCCATGCCGGTCTCATTTTAGATGAGCTTCCTTAAGGACATAATGTGTTCTGTGACCTAACTTTATGTGTTCTTGTGGGGACTAAATATTGTACTGTGTAATTATTCAAAAAACTTTTTTGAATAAATTATTCCCATTTTTCTTAACTTCAGAGCATTTTGCTTTGCCATTGGGAGATTCACATTTGGGTAAAGAAGAATTTGATGCACTGTACAGCCAAAGTAAAAAAAAAAAAAATTTATAGATATATCTAAATTTCCATCACTCTATCACATTTTTACATTCCATTACCAATGAGAATTACAGATTATGTATTCCTCCTCTTCTGTGTTCTTATCTTTTAATTTTTACCTGTGGTACATTTTGAAATTTATATAACCTGGGTAGACCTCTTAGGTAGTCAAGTGCTTTTCTTTGGCCTAAAGAGAGGCAGCATCAGATCTACATCCTTTTTTCAACTAGAGAGAGTAGTTGCTGGTAGTCTTTCTGTGTTTCATAATGTTCTATTTATTTAAAAACGAAATGAATTGGAATGGCTAGATGTAAAAGTTTTTGGAGAGCACTGATTCATAAATCTGCTAACCTGAACATGATATGAACAAAATACTCTGCAATTTATTTCCTTGAAGAGATTAGGAAATATATCCATTGTGGCAAAGTTGCTTCAGCAGCATACTTTTAAAATTATTTATTTATTTTAAATTTATTTTTAGAGACAGGATCTTGCTCTGTCACTTCAAGCTGGAGTGCAGTGGTGAGATCCTAGCTCACTCTAGCCTACTTCTGGGCTCAAGCCATCCTCCTATTGCAGCCTTCCAAGTAACTGTGTTTATAGGCTCACACCACCACTCTGGGCTAATTTTTAAGAAAATTTTTCTTTGTTTTTTTTTTTTGTAGAGGAGGCAGGGTCTAGTTATGTTGGCCGGGTTGGTCTTGAACTCCTGGTCTCAAGCAATCTTGGAATGCCTCAGCCTTCCAAAGTGCTAGGATTACAGGTGTGAGCCAGTGTGCTCAGGCAGGAGCATACTTTATTTTTTATTTTTTTTTGAGATGGAGTCTTGCTCCAACCAGGCTGGAGTGCAGTGACACAATCTGGACTCGCTGCAATCTCTGCCCCCTGGGCTCAAGCGATTCTCCCACCTCATCCTCCCTAGTAGCTGGGACTACAGGTGGGTGCCACCACATCTGGCTATTTTTTGTAATTTTGGTAGCAGTGGGGTTTCATCATGTTGCCCAGGCTGGTCTTGAACTCCTGAGCTCAAGCCACCTGCCTGCCTTGGCCTCCCAAAGTGCTGGGATTACACTGTGCCCGGCTGAGGAGCACACTTTTAATGATGAAAGAAGTTTCAATCTCAGCTCATCTTGGAGCAAATTTAATAAACCTCCCTCTACTCTGCCTTTTAAAGTACTAGATGAACAGGTGGGTCTTACGCCCTGGCTTTAAGGTCAGCAACCTTGAAGACTGACAAAGGGATCAAATTCTAAAACTGAAAACTCACTACTTCGAGTACTCTCCCTTTAGCTATCCCTGAATTCTGTGAGAGCTTGTTAGCAGCAGTGCTCTCTGTTTATCTGATTACTTTTGAGTGGGGATTGAGGAGGAGTAATGTGTTGCACAGATTTTCTTTTTGCCTGAAGAGGTATCTTACCCTGAGTTTGTTTTTAATAATGTTTAACGTTCTGCAGCAAGGCATATAGATTTGGAGAGGAAAAAAAATTTCTATCTTTACATTGCCTTTATGTTCTGAACATCTTTCTTTGAGTGGTATTTAAGACTTCTATTACTTTTAATTTTCTGTAATTCCAGCTACTTGGGAGGCTGAGGCAGGAGAATCGCTTGAACCAGGGCGGCAGAGGTTGCAGTGAGCTGACATTGTGCCACTACACTCCAGCCTGGGCAACAAAGTGAGACTCCGTCTCAAAAAAAACAAAAACAAAAGGCTGGAGGCGGTGGCTCATGCCTGTAATCCCAGCACTTTGGGAGGATGAGGCGGGTGGATCACGAGGTCAGGAGTTGAAGACCAGCGTGGCCAAGATGGTGAAACCCCGTCTGTACTAAAAATACAAAAACTAGCTGGGCACGGTAGCAGGAACCTGTAATTCCAGCTACTTGGGAGGCTG